TATATATATATATATATATATATATATATATATATATATAATTGCTAGCAAAGCAATTAATAAAATCTTATTTATTTTATTATTTTTTATTTGATCAATTTTTTTTTCACATTTTTCCGTTACAAATAAATATTTATTTAAATCAGTAATTGAATTTTTTTTTGGTACAAAGTAATTGAAATTTAATATGTGACTTTTTAGATAATGCTTAATTAAATTGTAATTATATTTTTAATTATTCTATTATATAATAGTTATTACTAAAACTAACCAATTATAATTCACACTAAATGATATATGGAAGTTCAATAGGTAAAACAAAATTAGATTGCAAATTGTTTCTTAAAATATTTATTGCTCTTAAGCATTTTTTTTATACGCTAATTGACTTTAGTGGTATAATCAAGCCTCTTAAAAATTTATAAATAATATTAATAATAATAAAATAATTATAATAATAATTTCTAAGATAATTAATAGGTCGTGATCTCTCATTTATAAAGCTACATTATCCATTTTATTTTATACAATCAATATAGTGATGAAATTTAATACTTTTATAATGTTCATGACAAAATTTTTAAAACGTGATACTATTATCAAACTTATGATTTTAATACTATATACATACATGTAACTTATAATTATCGAAACATCTGTGCATATGCACATGATCGAATACTAGTCTTTTGTGTAAGGTGCACGTAACTACGGAGCTTGAACAAGACAATCATCTAAAATGGACCACTTATGTTATCATGTTATGTAGTCTATATACAAAAGAGAGCATATTATTTTCATGGACAAAGAATACCAGTCTACCACAATTTTCGGTCGAACTTGTTCGCTTTGTACATCTCGAATCACGAATTGAACTAACCTACAAATCAATATCTTTATGGATTCCTATAGAAAGCTTTGGTCGACGTGTCTCCAAATATTTTTTTATCCTCTCAGATACCAAATCACTAGTGATACTTTACAATCAAGAGATGTGTTAGAAAGTGAATTCCGGATACCATTAAAACATTAATAACTTACTCCTTAGGACATAATTATCTGTTATAAAGTATATGATGTGCAATTTCTCCTTGAACCGGCATCTAGAAGAATACGAACCAACTTCCTTCCTTGAAACACACCGGGGTTGTTCCCGACGGTAGACTCCGACACTCAATCAGTTATCGGAATATAAAAGGTGATAATTATGTATCAATATTTAAAAGTCATAGAGAGAAGGAGAAACCCTTTTATGAAAGAGTATACATTGTTGCCCAAGATTTGCCAAATTTTGTTGTCTAAATACCTTTGTCGTCCAAGGTCTGCCCAAGATTTACCTTTACTGTCTAAGGTCTACCTGATATTTATCCAATCTTATCCTGTCTAGAATCTTCCTGAACAACTCTTTCAGGTCATCCATAAAATTTGCGTTCTTATCTACTTTCAAGGACTTGTATATCTTAGGTCATTAACCCATCCTGACCCCGTTCTATGTGTTTGAGCTCTTAAGCCTCCATTTCTAATTATCATCCGGTCCTAGCTATAAGGTTTATAGGTAGTGCTGAGATGCTTTCAGATGTCAATCATAGTCTTACGAGCTATTCAAAGTTCCCTATAAGATCCCAAACCATCATGTTCGAGCTTCAGGACTCTCAACCTCTTACCTGAGTTGATTCTTTGAGACCGATTTACTGAGCTAACTACTTGAGGTCGGTCAGCCTACGGAGTTGTTCTAGTTATTATATCATTCTCTATAATTAAGGAATAAACTAGATACCATTCAGTTGTGCTGTTAATATTTTAAAAAACATAGTGAAATATCCCATAATGGTTTTAATTGCTTAATACCAATATACCATTGAACCCGAGTCGAACCAGTTTATGATGTCACGTCATTATTTAAAACTTTTAGTTCATTATTTTTTCCCCAAAGCACTAGTATCAAGTTTTTTTTTAGGAATAAATTCGTACATATATATTATTCCTTTTACATGATTATTGAAATATCAGACATTTTTCACAAAAATGATCAAGCTTCCCACACCCTTCGGATTGGGTTATGGAAAATCTTTCATGGCTAAATGTTACATAATGGCCCCCCACACTTAGTGACTAATTATTAATATGGACGGCAAAGTAAGACGGCGATATAAACTTTTGGATTAATCGTGGAGGTTTCTCCATTGATCAAATTAGTGGGCCTTTTTCTTGATAAGGTATGGTGGGCCTTTTGTAGGCCAAGCTTGAGTGTGAAGATACTCAAAGTTCACTCACTGCTCTTCACAGTTTTCAGATAACAGATATTAATTGCAGGATAATGACAATTAATCTTTCATAGGATTCAACATTGTGCATTTCCACATATATAATAAAGTATTATGATTTATTCACTTATTTGTATGCATATTATTATAAGTTACATAATAGTATTATATTTTAAATATAGAGTATAACTAGTATTCGACCTGTGCATTTGCATAGATATAAATAAATTATTGTGAGTCTGTATGCATATAATAATTAATTATTTTTCTTTCACTTTTTTGCAGACCAAATTTACAATTAAAATAGTTGAAATATTTTTTTTTTAAATTGCGTTGATCTGATTGGATGTAATATATATTTTGGTACGTCTTTTATGTGTGAATTATTTATATTTATTTAGGAATTTCAAATATATTTTTTATTTTAAAAAAAAAATTAAATGTAACAACAATAATAACATCTAATCACATTATACGGTCAACACATTATATGGTCAACTGTCATTAATCAAAAGTTTAAAATAATTTTTGTAATTTTGAAGTGATGAGTATTAATTATTTAATGATTGAATGAAATATTAAATACATCAAAATGTAACGGTTTTTGGAGGGAAAATTGTTAAATTGCCACATAGGTAAAATTAAATAGGTTTTATTAAATGTTTTGAGCTAGTAATTATATATATATAGATACGTTATATTTATGCATATACGATTAAAATTATAAGTTAGATAATGCTCTTATGTCTTAAAATTTGATCACTGGATAAGTTAGATAATGCTCTTATGCAATTTAAGGAAATTTTACCATGACATTTAAAAAAATAATAATTTACTTAAAAATAATCGCTTAATCAAATAAAAAAAATATAATATTGATTTTAGAATAAATAACTTGAACAAAATATTTTCGCAATATAATCTTTTATGTTTATGTAACTTCCATATATCATTTAGTATAAAATATAATTACTAATTTTAATAATAAATATTATATGATTCAATCAAAAAATATAATTATTACTTAATAAATATAAAATGTTTTGTCTTAGTTAACCCAAAAAATAAACCTAATGAAATCTTTTATCATTAATGGGACATGGTGGATTAATATCACATTAGGTAAAATTTATTAGGTTGTATTTAATGATTTGCCGCATAAGTAAAATTTATTAGATTTTATTTAATGATTTGCTAGCAATTATATATATATATATATATATATATATATATATATATATATATATAGAGAGAGAGAGAGAGAGAGAGAGAAAATTAGTTGTTGAATTTAATCTTTATTATAATAATATTCATTAATTTTGGGATAACTACAATTAAATGTACAATATATTTATATTTTAGTACTCTGTACCTTATAATTCTAAAACCAAATCAAAAACTTTCATAAGAAAAATTTGAAACTTAGCTCCAAAACAGCACCAATTTTACATAAGAATTTTGGTGAAACAATTGTACAACAGAAAACTCTTCCCCTTATTTCAGTTTCTAGCACCTCTTGCAGGGTTTTGTTTAGCTGATTAGATATTACTTATACACCTGTGAATTTATTTATTCAACAGCCTTATTGTCAATGTCCTTTTCTTTTCATGGTCACTATGACCTTACTCAAACGTAAGAAAATATCTTGCCATAATTTTGTATTTGTTGATAAAATTCAAGTCATACGTTTGCCATCTAATTAAATATCTTGCCAGCAGCCCAACACTGACTAGTGATCATTTGCATAAACAAGTACTTTAAAATTTCTATTATTTGTTTTTAATATTCTCCAATTTTGGAAAGATGTTTTTGTGATGTAAATTATTATATTTGATGTTCAAACTTCAAAGAACATACCATGCATAGCCCAAATGACTAAATACAATAAGCCTATTATCAAACACGTTGTGTTTGTTAAACAATATACTCAAACTAAATTAATTCTACTCAAAATTTAACTCAACTCCACTTTCCTTAAAATTATCAATATAATTAAATAATAACAATCAGTCATTAAATAATAACAACCAATCATTTTTACACATCATATCAACTTTAATTCACTATTCTTCCACTCACATAATTTTAAATAACCATCACATCATAACATCTCTCTCATATTTTTACATCAAACTAACTTTAATTATTTTATATTTATTATTTTAATATAAACTCAAAATTCCACTAACAACTAATTATACCACTTTTTCTAAATTAACCCTAGTTAACTCAAAAAAAATCATTTTAAGTTAATTCACTCAAATTATTCCTTTAACAAACACATTTAGCTATGTTTTTCAATAGAATTGCATACTTTTAAATTTTAAACATGATTCTAAAAAACAACATGAAGAAAAAAATTTAAGATTTCATTTTATAATCTTTATTTTTATTAACAAGAAATTAGGTGCTGTACAGGCAGTTACAAATCCTACGAAGTCTCTCGGGTATTGTGGAGTGATTGCAGGTAATATTAAACGAATATTAGATGAGTCGGCTAATTGTTGTATTTCTTATGTTCTAGAGTAGCCAATCACGTGGCGCATGCTATTTTTTCTTTTTCTTCTTTTCACACCTCCCACTTTGTTTGGGAAAAAGGTGATTTTCCTTCATGGATATTTAAACTTGTAACTAAGGACTTGAATTAATATATTATGTTACTTGCTGTCNATAGAAGAAAATACTACTAATAACAATAACAACATTACCATGAAAAAAGTCGTAGTTGCAGTGGATGAAAGTGAAGAAAGCATGTATGCCTTATCATGGTGCCTCAGCAATCTCTTATCCGAGAAAAATATCAATCAAAACAGCACCTTAATCCTCCTCTACATAAAGCCACCTGTACCTGTGTACTCAGCTCTAGATGTTACAGGTTAGATTACATTTTTTCAATCCTTAATTTTTTCTAACATTTTTTTTTATTATTATTTTAATGTAATTGCTTTAATTATTGACTTTGTGCATATTAAATTTTTGTTAGGATATCTTTTGGCTGGGGATGAAATTGCAAATATTGAAAAATACAACAGGAATTTGGCAAATTCAGTGATGAGTAGGGCAGAGGCAGTTTGTAGAAAATTCGATACTACAGTATGTGTTCTGTTTCATTTAATTATTTATTTATAATTTAAATTTTAGATTACCGTCTTATTTGATTTTATTTTTATTGAGCAATGGGAATTTGTCAATTTGGTCAGGTCAAAGTGGAGAAGAAAGTTGGGAATGGAGATGCAAAGGATGTAATATGCACAGCTGTTGATAAACTAAAAGCAGACATTTTGGTCATGGGAAGCCATGATTATGGTTTCTTCAAGAGGTAATTAACCAACTTTCTGAAATAGAAAAAAGAAAAAAGGAAAAAAAAAAATCCTCTAATTTCAAGATTACTGTATACATATATGCCTCTCATTGCGGTTTGAAAAGGTAAAAGTTGGTTTTGAGATGCAATTTGTTACGATTGCAGGGCAATTCTGGGAAGTGTGAGTGATTACTGTGCAAAGCATGTTAAGTGTCCGTTGGTGGTCGTCAAGCGTCCCATGCCGGCTTAGCATTATGAGAAATAACTAAATGTTGTGTAATGTCTTTGTGTTTGTTTTGTGGTTCAATGTTATGTATAGTATAAGGGTTTATCTGTGCATAGTTCAAGTTCTTGCAGCTTCAAATTAAGCCTGGAAAAAGGTGTATTGTAATGTATTGTGATGGACGTTTAAGATTTATTTCGCTATTTAGCTATTATTTGGCTTCAGATCACTTTAGATTGTAGTACTCTATTCATTGCCGGATAAAATCGATTTAAAAATGATAATAATTGAGACCACAATGAGGACAAATGCTGCCCAAGAAAGTTGGAGAAAGTAGTATCAACTATCAACTATCAAGTCAGCCAAAAAAGAATATTGAATAAAACTTGCCCCACTTTTAAATGCTTCAAAGTTTCAATCCTTTCATGGCTTCAACAATGACCCAAAACCACCTCTCACATTATTGAATTGAAGTTTAAGTTCCAGTATTTGTACAATAACTCCATTCCTCTGTTTTGATTCATGGCTTTGATCTCATGAATCCCCTTTGATCACAATTCATAACCCTATTTACGCTATTTAATATATTGTGACATCCATTTGAAGCCTCCACCATAACCCATCTTTCACACAATGCTGCACACAAACACTTCCAACGGGCACACGTTGGAATCAGCAAGGTTGACTTTCCCTTTTCCGGTGGTCACGCCAGCTAGACCGAGGTGATACCGAAGCTCGTCTTCCGAGGCAGCATATGGAATGTCGATCTTATTTCCGAGAATAAGAAACGGGACATTTACAAGAGACTCATCACAAAGGAGTGCGTCTAACTCCTTTTTGGATTCCGCAAAACGCTCCTTGTCATACGAGTCGACTAGGTACACCACAACATCAACCTGCAAAATCCCATTCCCAGTGCATGAAGTGAAACGAGTCGAAACAGTACACGACACTAACTATAAGAAATGCTTTCACTTGTCAAGCTTCACAAATAGTATGTGTTTGCGGGAAGCAAATAGTTTAAGACTGTGTTAGGTAAACATATAAGCTTATTTGATTAGCTTATAAGCTTTCTGTATTCAAATAAGTTTGGTTTGGTAGGACGAGCTTTTTCTAAAAACTCGAGCTTATCTCATAAGCTTTTTTAAGTAGTTTTTAAACTAAGTCCATTGAAATATTTATTTCAACTAGCTTATCAGTAATTTTATCAAACATTTTTATCATATAAGCTAGTTTTTCAGCCATAAGTCATAAGATATCAGATATAAGCTAGAAATTCACTTAAAAACTATAAGCTACCTTATAGCTAAGAAGCATCTTGAAGTAACTATAACAGTGAGGTACCAAAGAGAGGTGCTAGACACACTAGCATCACTCTCACAAATCGTGGAAAATCCACATTACTTCAATATATGTCATAAACTCCACAAAGTGACGATGACAGGAAATGAAAAGAATTAGAGTCGAATTTTTCTTGTGATAGATGCAAGTATATGTACAACATCTGCCTACAAATTATATTACAAAAGAGTGGTACAAAAGCAGGTTTTTGCCAAGCATTCGAATCTATTATGTGACATGATACTCAATCGTCAACACTATCCTCGCGGACCATAAATATACTCGAGAAGTATAGATACAGAAATTTCAACTTAATTGCATAATACTCCTTCCATTTCCATCTTCAGAAGTCGTCATCTGTAACTCTACTAAGTGTTATCAAGTGGCGGTAGGGCTTGGCCTGCCGCAATTTACGGCCATCTGCCATTAATAACACTGCTACTACTGAAAATGCAGAAATATCAACCCTCCAAATCAAACAAACAATGAATACTCACAGAAAATAATTAACAACAAGCATTCTCCATCAATTGGCACGAATACTCACAGAAAACAATGAAATTCATAAACCCAGTATCAGCTTTCGTCCTCATAATCACAACATCAATTATCATCAATAAAAATCCATAAAAAAGCTTGCACCGAAATCACATTATAATTGTTAGAATATCACTTGTGAGTTGTCCCACATCGTTCATATATGGAAAATAGACCCACCTTATAAGACTAATGGGCTACTTCTCCTTCCACCAATTGGTTTTGGGATGGAACCCCATTTGGGCTTCATATGGGCTTTTCCCTTCTTTCATGGTATCCTTCATGCTAGTGGGCCAGCACTCATTTTCCCCCAGTTTCTGTCATGGTATCAGAGCCGGTTCTATCTTGGACCGTGTGATGACGTGCCGGTTCTATCTTGGACCGTGTGATGACGTACCCATTGTTTATCCCCCACGTACCCGAGTTTCTGTCATGGTATCAGAGCTGGTTCTATCTTGGACCGTGTGATGACGTACCGGTTCTATCTTGGACCGTGTGATGATGTACCCATTGTTTCCCATTGTTTATCCCCCACGTACCCGTTTATGGGAGTCTGTTTGTAGTAGGGCTTGGGGCACCCAGCTCAGTTTGGCTTGGGCTTTCGAAAGACTCACAAATGAGGGGGCGTGTTAGAATATCACTTGTGATTTGTCCCACATCGTTCATATATGGAAAATAGACCCACCTTCAGTTTGGCTTGGGCTTTCGAAAGACTCACAAATGAGGGGGCGTGTTAGAATATCACTTGTGATTTGTCCCACATCGTTCATATATGGAAAATAGACCCACCTTATAAGACTAATGAGCTACTCCTCCTTCCACCAATTGGTTTTGGGATGGAACCCCATATGGGCTTTTCCCTTCCATTTTCTCCCAGTTTCTGTCAATAATCACGAGCCTATAAACAAAATCAAATACCTTGGCATAATAATCTTTCAGAACCCATTTTCCCCCAGTTTCTGTCAATAATCACAAGCGTATAAACAAAATCAAATACCTTGGCATAATAATCCTTCCAAACCCTACGGGCAATCTGATGTCCACCCAAATCAAACGCCTTGAACTTGATTTTTCCGATGCTCAGCTCCTCCAACGTCGGATATTGCGTCGGCTGATGCTGTACTAACCTCTGCACCCAAAAAAAAAAAAGAAAAAACACGAAATTTCGAGCCAATAAATTCACCGAGATCCTTTCAATGTAGCAAATTAGCAAAAGCAACAATCGATTCTAGAAAAATAAAACTGACCTCGGCCTTGAGCATGTGAAGGAGCGTGGTTTTGCCGGCATTGTCGAGGCCGAGGAACAAGATCTAAGCTTCTTTCTGCCATAGCCCGAGGGAAGCCAACACGCCGTAAAACCAATCCAATAGAAACATTTTGGTCGGGTCGGGTTCGGATTGAAATTTCTCTGGATCTGGACAGGATTTTATTTGTTTTTCCTGCTTTTCCTTTTCCTCGCTGGTCTGAGAAGAGAGGCGAAGGCTGAAGGCCCTGAAAGGAAGTCAATTCATTAAATGTGTAGTTTCTTTTTCACGTGGGCGTTTTGTGTCAATTATGAAGATCGTGTATTTTAAATATGTTGTTTTGCTTTGAAGTCGAGCTAACGGCTTTGATTCTCGGCGACAAGTTGCTAATATCCGCGCGGACGTCTACTTTCGTGATAATTGTAAGGAAAGACGCATTCACGAGAGTTCTAACACACGGTGATCAAATAATTAGTTTTTTTTTTTTTTTATTAACTTCAATATTTATAGAAAACTTGAACATAAGATGGGTATTTAAAGATAACAATTTTGCTATGAAGGCAACAGTTGTCCAAGCGCGCCTATTCACTATGCCTGCACGCCTCTCCCGCAACATTTTCGTGCATGTGACTTTGTGCTCGCGCGAGCTCGCACTCGTTTTCCCGACATGCTCGTGTTGTTTTGGGTCCTCACGTGGTCTTCTTGGGTCGCTTCCACTCTCGACTGCGCTCGTGTAAGGGGGTCTAAACTTCCATTCTCATCAGTTTACTTCAGTTTGAGAGCAAATAAAATTAAGAAACCTATATTTTAAAAATCGAAAAATATGAATAAAAGTTTTTATAATGAATTTCAATACTTGTTAAAAAATCATGTTACAATTTTTATTTAAAGTAGCACTCAGTAAGAGGTTTATTCGATATATGAAATCCAGCCGTGAAAATACAGCATCCCACCTTTTTCTACAGCCCAAAATTTTGATGTCTTCGTTTTACTTTATAATATTTTTTAAATTTAATTCAATCATATGATTGATAATTTATTTAATAGACAAATAAGAATAATAATTATTATTTAATTTTAATATCATCTTTTTATACAATATATATAATATTTTTTATATATTTATAATATAAATGTTAAACCAAAAAAAATATTAACAAATATATCGTAGACGAAAATGCAATAAAATTGTCTGTGTTTAGATCAAATTGAAATATGTAATTGTAAGTATTGGGCTGATTTTGCTGGTTTTGCGATTAGACATTCAACTAGTCCCACCCCAGTAGGGTCGTTCAGTGCATAAGCGAGACCAGCCCAATACATTCAACCAAACCGGAAAAATTGATAATGCAATGAAATGAAAATGAAAATTACACTTGACCTATCGCCTCTATATATAATTTCTGAATGTGTTGAGTCTAAGTGGCAGATCCGTGTGCTTCGTAAGCTTATTTGACATAAATTGGTACTTATTGACACATGTTCGGGTTTAGTTTTAAATATTAGGCTTTGGAATTACCATAATTTTGGCTTTCATTTTTTCTTAAATTACCATATACTACTCTTACCTTTTTTATTTAATCCATATATTAATTATTATAAATATGTATTCTTTTTATTTTAAAAACTTTATAATTTTTTTATTTGTATTTTATTTTTTATATATGATTTACCAAAATAATCAAATTTTTAATGATCTTCGATTTGACATTCATATTGCATATGTAAAATAAAAAATAATTCCATCTATATTTATAAATAAATTAATTTTATTATCTACTCAGTTTAAAATAATATCATATAACTGTGTAAATTATTTTATAAAAATAATAAACATATAATTCATTATTACACCATAAAATAATCATTTTATTGTTTTTTTCCATAAATTTTGGAATAAAAATATAAATTGAGTAGTACATAAAATAAATTTTAAAAAATATTATAAAATATTATTCTCAATTTAAATAGATTATATAAAAAAAATTGAATGTTATTATGTTATTTAATTTAGTAAATATAAAAGAATATCAATAAAATAATTTTGTACTTTGTAAAGTTAGAAAATACATTTCTACGTAAATTCTAAATTATTAACTTTATGAATTTATAATACTTGAAAATTTATAAACGTGAGACACTGACTCTGTAAATATAAAATATAATCACAATACATAAAACTTGTTTTGTTTTCAAAAAAAACAAATCACATATATGAAGTTGCAAATAATATCAGTTTTATACATATATAATTTTAAAAATATAATTAAAATATAATTTTTGACAAATTTAGTGTAAAAATACAGGCACCATTTGAAGTAATTATCACTTTGTTAGTTTTTTTATTATTATTGCGTATTCATCATGCATAGTTTAACAATAAAAATGTAAATTATTTTAATTTTTATTGTATAAATATTAATATATTTAAGTACATGTATAGTATACGAGTATTGTATTAGTTAAGAACTTATGATAATACTCAGTCCTAATAAATTTCAACTACTCTCACAAATGCATTTTAGAATTATTAATCATGGCTTATATAATTTATGCGAGTATTGAAAAAATTAAATTTAATCCATAAATTTCAACTACTCTCCACAAATGATGCATGATGGGCAAGATCGGAAAAATCTTATTCATAAAGCACTTTATCAATTGACATTTGTTTATTGGCTCAACAATGTTTGTAAATAATTATATTTTTTTTTCAATAAGTTAACCCTTCCCCATATGTGTCTGTATAACTGTATTAATTTCTTGAAACTTATCAGTCCAAAAGGCTTACTAAAGTTAAAAATGGATCTTAACTTACAACTCAATAATAATGTGTGAAATTTTGTTTCACAACAATATACTTAAATACATATACATAGATTCAATGCTGAGGAAGAAGGTTATAGCAAACTTGGGTGTACTTAGTTATATTTCATCGATCAATTAAGAATTAAGATAACAATATGCCAATTCTGCATAATTTAACAAACAAAAGTTATGTATATATATTTGTAAGAAAAAATATAAATTCAATTCCCACTCTATGTAGTGATGCAGATTCATATTTAATTTTCGTTGAAAACATATTAAATATTTCGATTAAAATTTAAGTTGAATTATAGTAGTATTTGTCTATTTGATAAACAGGCCACAACTTGACAACTGGGCCGAGAGTAATTTGATTTCAGTATGTACTGCAGAGTTAGATTATGTTTCCATTTATATAAACACTTGCCGCCATCGTGGCTAATCACTATTCGCCACGTTGCTCCTCTGAATTACTATTGCAACTTGCGAGACAGAGCATAGTCGTGATTAATTTCAGACCCAAACTCTTTTAGTATGAATTTCTGCCAATTTGTTCTTTGATATAAAAAATAAAAGTAATTCTACAATGTTTTAATGTTAAGTATGTAAATTAGTTAGTTGTCTGTTTGTCTACTACTATCCAAATACAATTCATTGCGGGTTTAGTCAATTTATTATTTCTTGCCTAAAAATACAACTATATCAAGTAGAATAACACTAGAATTTGTCCAAATTTGTAATCGACCCTAAAATTGCTTCGGCATGAAAAGAGAAAATATGACTAACTAACTAATTACAAAATTTGTGTTATCTGATTATAAAATCACAATTGATCCTAGAAACACTCATAAAAGTCCTCTAGATTGTACTTTTCTTGCCATGCCGCAAATTTTGGCCTCACATTTTGTAGTGTGCAAATGCAAAGGCAATATACACCTAGTGACATCAAATAATCGTGAAGTTAGCTTTTTATATTCAGAATTTATTGCTTTTCAATCAAATATTGTGCCCCCTTTATCTTCACTCTCAACTTGCAAAATTTGCCTGCCAAAAAATAAAAAATAAAAATTATCCCATTTTTTACATTTTTTAACAAAGTAAAATCATTCATGTACTTTTTAATCTTTTATCCTTTACTTGCAACTTGCACCTCTGTTTTTCCCATGCTCGAAACCCAAAAAAACACCCATACCTCATACAACCAGTTGATAGACTGAAGTAATCGTAGCCGTCCATTTCGCCAGAGCCGCTGATCTGATGTCATCACTCATCACCCCTAACCGCTCACACACAATCAGTTTCACTTATATATAAGCCCACAGCCCACTCTACTTTCCCACCTTTACTCAGCTCCTAATTTTTTCCCCATTTTTTTTAATAAATTAATTATTTTCTCCTCAGAAAACAATGAGGAGAAATTCCAATTTTACCTTTATTCTCTCACTTTTCCTTTTCACGGCGGCGGCGATTTCGCCGGCCGTGCGAGGAAAGCACCCATTCGCCTGCCGGCCGAGAGATCCGGCGACCAAAACGCTGCCGTTTTGCCGGACGGACCTGAGGGTGGAGGAGAGGGCGAAGGATCTGATCGGACGGCTGACGCTTCAGGAGAAGGTGAAGCTGCTGGGGGACAATGCCGCCGGCGTGCCGAGGCTGGGGATCCGCCGGTACGAGTGGTGGTCGGAGGCACTCCACGGGGTGTCCAACGTCGGGCCGGGGACGAAGTTCGGCGGCGAGTTCCCCGGCGCCACCAGCTTCCCGCAGGTCATCACCACCGCCGCCTCCTTCAATGCGTCTCTGTGGGAGGAGATTGGGAAGGTACGGTTTAATTTTTCTCTATTTTTAAATTTTATTTAGTTAAGTAGTTGATTTGAAGCGAAATGTGTTGTCTATTCATGCTTTTTCTATGGCTTTTTGTTTATTTAATTAATTGCATGAAAATGAAAATCTAATTAGGTCATTATCAAATGGTAATAATTACAAAGGTTATATTGTATAAAGTACTGTAGCGTTATATAAGGAAACGAGACGTTCAGCTAAGCTCGAGCACTAAGGCTTGTAAATAATTCGATTCGTGTAAATGAAATGCTCGATAAAAACTCGATTTTAAGTTGTAGGAGCAGCTCAGTTCGACTCGTTTATACGTGCTAAATTTTTTATTTATCACTCAATATTATAGTTAAGGCGATAATCTTATGATTAAAATTTAAACAATCAAAATCTAAAGTAGTGATATGTTAATTATTTGTTCTTTAACAAAAATGCCGTATCATATCTTGATTTATTATCAAGACATTTTACTCGATCTATGAGGCACAGTTTCCGATGCTGATTTATCTGCTTTTACTTTTCGGGAATAGTTTACGCTTTTATCAACTGAAAAGGTAAAAACTATTTTAACTTCAACCCCGTTTCTCATTTAACATGACTGAAAGTTGTAATTAGTTCAGTTCATTTTTTTTTTTTTTTCTCTAAAATTACTCGATACTCTTAATATTACCTTTATTAAAACATAAAGAATTACATCTTGAGACCTATAATTATAAACATAGTATAAATACAAAGTAAGAGTCTCTACAAATTTATTTCCTGTTACCAAAAACTAGGTATATTTTACATCAATTGAACACTTGAGATTTCCTCGGTTTATTTTAGCCCATTGGATTTCTTTTTGTTGTATCAACACATAGTACTCATATGGATACCTATAAATATGTGTTTGATCCAACATTAAAAAATTTCGATTTTATTTTTGTTTTGATATAACTAATTAACATTATCTGACTAGCCATCATTAATATTTTCAACGACTATCATTCGATGGGCATTCTATGACGGGTCCACTACGGTTTTCTAAAACACGTTATCCTACTCAATTTAATATGATATCTTCTTGGAATTTAGCACTGGACAATAATAAAACGAAATGATAGCTCTAAATTCGATACAAACCTTTTTCCATGCAAGACGACCCATTCAGCACGTGCCCAGTGTGTGCACTATTTACTAGGCCCACAATACCTTAATGGGCCGAAAAAAGAAAATGACCCAATTACTGCACAGGTGGTGTCGGACGAGGCCCGAGCAATGTACAACGGTGGGATGGGTGGGCTTACTTACTGGAGCCCAAACGTGAACATATTCCGGGACCCGAGGTGGGGCCGGGGGCAGGAGACCCCCGGCGAGGATCCGCTCGTCGCCGGCCGATATGCCGCCAGCTACGTCAGGGGGCTACAGGGCACGGACGCCGGCGGCCGGCTGAAGGTGGCGGCGTGCTGCAAGCACTACACGGCGTACGATCTGGACAACTGGAGCGGGGTTGATAGGTTCCACTTCAACGCAAAGGTTAATCTCTACAGTTTTTCCCTTTTGAATTTAATTTTTCTAATCTGAAAAAAGTTTTCATTGTTATTTTATTTTTTTTCACCCTGTTTGTCTGTTTAACCAATTATAGAGAAGTGATTGTATCTGCTCACAGGTGATAGTAATAGATGATTTGATTACTGAATTGTATTGGTAGTTTGAAAATGAGTGTTTAACTAGTGCCTAGTGGTTTGTACTTTGTATATCTATTTTGGAAAAGATAAATCATCTTTACTCAAATTGCTATTACATTGACTTTTTTCAAAATTGGTGTTTTGAGCATGAAAAGCCAATTAAATAAGCTCTTCACGAAAGAAGCTAATTGGCGGATTGAACAGGTCAAAACTCTAAATGAGATTCAATCAGCGAATTTTTCACTCATTCGCTAATATAGTGTTTAGTTATAAATGTAACTTACGGGGAATGCTACCATCCCGTTACGGGATGGTTCAGTTGTGTTTTTAACTGTTGGATTAACTACCCATCACTAGATTACATGTATATCTATGACTAGAAAACACAACGGAACCATCCCGTAACGGGATGGTAGCATTCTCCGTAACTTTAATCATATATTTTGCAGGTTAGCAAGCAGGACATTGAAGATACATTCGATATTCCCTTTAGAAGTTGTGTAATGGAAGGCCAAGTAGCGAGTGTGATGTGTTCTTACAATCAAGTCAACGGCATCCCCACTTGCGCTGACCCGAAGCTCCTCCGAGGAACAGTACGCGGTGCTTGGCGTTTGAATGGGTACATATATGTCACATTTTTTTTTTCTTATATGAATATATAATATATGTTTTTATTTTTGTATACATATTAATTTTTAAAATTATTAATATACTCAAAAAAACTAGGTATATCGTGTCCGATTGTGACTCGGTGGGCGTGTTCTACGATAATCAGCATTACACGTCGACACCAGAAGCAGCAGCTGCAGATGCAATAAGAGCAGGTTATTCGAACAAAGTCGATTAAAACTCGAATCATGTACTAAAATCGTTTTTAACATTTTGTCGATAGTTACGCTAATCACGAGTATGTTATGACATTACGTTAAACGATAGGCTTGGATTTGGATTGTGGGCCTTTCCTTGCTGTACACAGCGAGAATGCAGTACAAAGGGGGCTACTAAAGGAAGCCGAAATCGACAATGCATTGTTCAATACTATCACCGTCCAAATGAGACTTGGAATGTTCGACGGGGAACAACCGGGCCAGCCTTATGCCAATCTCGGCCCAAAGGACATCTGCACCCCGGCCCACCAAGAGCTGGCCCTTGAAGCAGCTAGACAGGGCCTCGTTTTACTCAAGAATCACGGCCCAGTGCTTCCCCTTTCTCCTAGACGACACCATCCTATCGCCGTTATTGGGCCTAATTCAGATGTCACTCTCACAATGATTGGAAATTATGCTGGTAAAAAAAGAAATAAAAACTATTGGAAGATGTTATTATTTATTATTATTATTATTATTATTATTATTATTATTATATTATTATTATTACTACATAGGTGTTGCTTGCGGATACACGACTCCATTGGAAGGAATAAGACAGTACACGAGGGTGATTCATCAGCCGGGCTGTGCTGACGTGGCTTGTGCAAACGATGCTTTATTCGGTGGGGCCATTGAAGCTGCCCGCCAATCGGACGCCACTATTATGGTAATGGGCTTGGACCAATCTATCGAGGCCGAATTCAGAGACAGATCCGGGCTCTTGCTGCCTGGGCGCCAGCAGGAGCTCATCTCTAAAGTTGCTGCAGCCTCAAAAGTCCCCATTGTTTTGGTCCTAATGAGCGGTGGCCCAATCGACGTGTCCTTTGCTAAAAATGATCCAAGAATCGGAGCAATTTTATGGGCTGGTTATCCGGGCCAGGCTGGCGGGTCCGCCATTGCTGATGTCCTTTTCGGAACTCACAATCCGGGTAAACGAAAAAACATCAACTAACCCATCCATAGACCTGTAAACGAGCCGAGCTGAGCTCGAGCTTAAGGTTAACGAGCCAGAAATTGAGCTCGAGCTCGATTCGTTTATCACTAATAACGAGCTGAGTTCGGCCTTAACAAGCCGAGTTCAAGCTTTAACGAGCTGAACTATAGAAAATTATATAAAAATTATTTTTTCGGGCTTTATCGAGCCGAGCCGAGACAGACTCGTTTAATTTAACAGCAATACCCACCCATGACATTTTTCATTTTTGGTGTTTATTTGTTAAATATTTTTTTT